CCTGGCACAGGGCACAGCATCTCAGACTTAGGGAAACCAACCAATACTCATTTTTTTTTTAAATTGAAGTATAGTTGACTTAAAATGTTTCAGATGTACAGCAAAGTGATTCAGTTTTATACACACACACACACACACACACACATATTCTTTTTCAGATTCTTTTCCACTATAGGTTATTACAAGATATTGAATATAGTTTCCTGCACTATATAATAGGTCCTTGTTTAACTCTTTTATATATAGTAGTGTATATCAGCTGATTCCAAACTTCCAATCTATCCCTCCCCCCACTTTTCCCCTTGGGTAACCGTAAGTTTCTTTTCTATGTCTGAGTCTTCTTCTGTTTTGTAAATAAGATCCTTTGTATCATTTTTTAAAGATTTCACATATAAGTGATACCATATGATATTTATCTTTCTCTGACTTACTTTACTTAGTATGATGATCTCTAGGTCCATCCATGTAGCTGTAAATGGCATTATTTCATTCTTTTTTATGGCTGAGTAGTATTCCACAACATAAACATATCACATCTTCTTAATCCAGTCATCTGTCAATGGACATTTAGGCTGTTTCCATGTCTGGGCTGTTGTAAATAGTGCTGCTATAAACACTGGGGTTCATGTGTCTTTTTGAATTAGAGTTTCCTCTGTATACATGCCTGGGAGTGGGATCGCTGGATCATATGGTAACTCCATTTTCAGATTTTAAAGGAACCTCCATACTGTTCTCCTTTGTAGCTGCTCTACCTTACATTCCCACTAACGGTGGAGGAGGGTTCCTTTCTCCTCACCCTCTCCAGCATTTATTATTTATGGACTATTTGATGACGGCCATTCTGACCAGTGTGGAGTGATACTTCCTTGTAGTTTGGATTTGCATGATTATCAATGTTGAGCATATTTTCATGTGCCTGCTGGCCATCTGGATGTCCCAACCAATGCTTCCTGGAAGTCTAGGTGAGGAAGGGAGTGAGCAGGGAATATTCATCAGCGGTGTGCCGGTGAACAGCCTTTCCGATGGCAAAAAGGCCTGGTTTCTGGTGTTTGCCAATACCGGTGGTGTAAATTCTGATGGTCACTAAATGAGGAGTCGGCAAGAGATGCATACAACCCAATCGGCTCTCAGGAGCTGATACTGAATGGTTCCAGCACAGCCCTGACACCAGTCCTGACGCATCAGCTCCTCTGCAAAGGCAACACTTGCCTTCTAAGACGTCGCATTAAGAGACCGGGAAGTCAGCAGGGACTAGCCAGCCTCAACCCCGCAACCACCCAGCTTGAGGCCAGTCTGATTCTAACTCATGGCATTTAAAACTCTGGGATTCGAAAGGGAGGAAACCCTGGAACTGAAACACAGCTCCCTCTACTGGGACATCCAGCGTGACTGGCAGCGGAAAACCACGCAAGGGTTTAGTGTCTCAGCAAACACAAACACAGCCCCAAGGATCGAGTTCCTGGAAGACGCAGACCAAACTGGATCGCTCCCGGGACTCTTCAGGACCCTGCCAGAGCACAGCAAGCCTCGCCCACTGCACTTCGAGCCTCCCTCTGATTGCGACAGAAAGAACTATTTCCACACACAGATCCGCTGCCTGTTAATTAACCCATTCACTTTCATCTGCATAATCAACACTAATCTCGTGGGTTAGTTAGACTTCATGTGCATTTGATTCTGATCTCCTGCTTCAAACAAGGGTCCCACACATGCATTTCTGGCCATTTTTTCACGAGTTGAAACATCTGGGCACCTAATCCTCACCCCCCACCCCTGCCCAGGCGTCCTAACAACGCTTCTTAGGTTAATGATGGTGAGGGCTGGTGTTTGATCCAGTAAGTGGTTCAGGACCCCAGATGTGTTTGCTGGCTATGCTTGGAAGGAAGGACTGAGGAGGGGGGTTTACAGATAAAAGAACTGGATGCTTCTAAATGAAGTGGAGCACTTGCAGAGTTCTTCTTGGCAGCCTGGAAGAGGTCACTTAAGAAAACTACGTCCGATAATGGAACTGAGTATTTCTCCCTCGGGCTAATCCATTTGAGAAAATACACGGGCAGAATGGATCAAGAGCCCTGAAAAACGATCACGCTTTTTTTTTATTCTAAGAAGCTCCCTTAAGCAAAAAGAGAAATGGGCACAGATTCCTGTCGAAGATGGTTTATTGCTGCATTAGCTGTAAGAATAAAGCCTGGGCACACATTACCATACATAAGATAGGGAAATGACAAGGACCCACTGTATAGCACAGGGAACTGGATTCAGTTTCTTGTAATAACATACAATGGAAAAGAATCTGAAAAAAGAATATATATATATATATATGTATATATATGTATAATGGAATTGCTTTTGCTGTACACCTGAAACTAACATTATTAATCAACTACACTTTAATAAAAACGTTTTTAAAAAAGAATAAAACTTACAAACAACCTAAATAGCCACAAATATGGATGTGGCTATTTAAATAATGTTAAATCTATGTGGTGGAATATTAACATGTTTTTGAGGAATATTTAATGTTAGAAGAAGATATTAGCAATATAAGTTAAAGTATCTTAAATATCTGCATATATATATATATATATATATATATATATATAATGATGCCAAATTTGTGAAAGAAGTAATTTACCATACACAGATGTTACACCTGTATAAAACGTGGGAAGCAGATGAATCAACATGTTAGCAGTGGGTTATTCTTAGGTGGAAGGGCTATTGGTATATTATTTAAGTTTTGTCCTCATATCACTGTTTTTACAAATATTCTAAAATGAGTCTGCACTGCTTTTGTACACAAAAAGCAATTATGGTAAATGATAATCTGGGATATCTACACAGAATCCCATACAGCATCCTTATGCATTATTGCCACCGATAGCCGCCTCCTGTCTTTAAATGCCTCCTCGCTGAAGACTAAGTCTCATTCTTTGGGGTTCTGACACCAGTTCTGCTGTGTGTCTTTTTTCCCACACCATCAAGCAATTCTCCGGCACCAGCTGGGGGTCTGGCAATTCGCCTCAGTTCTGAGCCTATCACCCTGGAGTCAGCATCAGATCCACAGGTTAAGAGCTCAGCACCCCAAGGCTGCCCTCCCTTTCAGATGCCACTTGCAAGTCTAGGCTGTTACCTGCCTTCTGAC